AGAGAGAGAGAGAGAGAGAGAGAGAGAGAGAGAGAGAGAGAGAGAGAGAGAGAGAGAGAGAGAGAGAGATTGTGGTGACTGACCTCGTACCCACAGTGTTGGCAATGTTTTGACTGGAAACGATGCTGAGCGTCTGGTTGACCATTTTGATCAGCAAGCTGACTGCGCTGACCAGCTGGTTGACCCGGTTGACTAACTGGTTGACCTGGGGCCATCTTTGGAGTCCAGACTGCCGATGTAACCTTCCTTCTGCCAATCGGACCAACGGAAGTGCAAGGAACTCAGCTCTGAATCTCATCTGCTGTTGACTCAGCTGGGCCTCCCTGATGCCTCATCTCAGCTGGTGTTGAATAAGTTGATGCAGATCAGCTGGCGTTGACTCAGTTGACTCTGCTCAGCTGATGTTGACTCAGTTGACTCTGCTCAGCTAGTGCTGCCCCAGCCGAGTAGCTATGTTGACTGAGGTGTGCGACAAAAGGAACATACTGATTTCACTCTCAGCCACTGAGACCAGCTGGGATTCAGAGTCAACAAGAGCTGTCATCAGTCTCTACTCAGTCTATACTCAATCTATACTCAGTCTATACTCAGTCTATACTCAGTCTGTATTCGGTCCGTAAATTCAGTATGTCTTCAGTCGGCATCCAGGTCTGTGCTCGGTCCGTAAATTCAGTGTGTATTCAGTCTGTATTCAGTCTGTATTCAGTCTGTATTCAGTATGTATTCAGTATGTATTCAGCCTGCATTCAGTCTGTACTTAATGTACTCAGTCTGTGTTGGCAACTGAGTGCAGACAAATCTCAGCAAGATTAGGAGCATGGAAGAGGCTTCGATGGCGAAATAGACCTGGATGAGACCTGTGTTAATGATAAAGGAACGACCTCAGGTCTGCACGCAGTCTATATTCAGTATATACTCACTCTGTACTGAGTCTGTACTTGGTCTGCACTCAGTCTTTATTCAGTGTATGCTCACTCTGTACTCACTCTGTATTCAATCTGGACTTAGTCTGAACTCACTCTGCACTTAGTCTGCACTCGGTTTGCAGTCAGTCTGCACTCAGTTTGCAGTCAGTCTATACTCAGTTTATACTCAGTCTATACTTAGTCTATAATCATCAGTCTGTGTCCAGTCTGTGGTCAGTTCACACTTATTCTGCACTCAGTCTGTACTCAGCCCACACTCGATCTGTACTNTACTTAGTCTATAATCATCAGTCTGTGTCCAGTCTGTGGTCAGTTCACACTTATTCTGCACTCAGTCTGTACTCAGCCCACACTCGATCTGTACTCGGTCTAAACTCAGTGAAAATCGGTACTGAGTGTCACTACTTTGTCTGTACTCAGTCCGTACTTCTGTACCGTCTGTACTCGGTCTATATTCAGTCAGTAGACTCGGTACTCAGTTTGTTCTCGGCCTGTATACACTCTATACTCAGTCTGTACTCCGCCTTAATGCACCTGAACTTATCTTGGCCTCCTCAAGTACCTTAACCTGGATCCCCTTAATACATCCCAACCCGCCCTTAACTCACCCTTAACTGACTGTTAACCCACCCCTGAATACAAGCTTATCTCGCCCTCAACTCAGCCTCGACGCAGCCTCGACGCAGCCTCAACGCAGCCTCAACTCAGCTTCAACTCAGCCTCAGTTCAGCTTCAACTCAGCCTCAACTCAGCCTCAACTCGTCAGCCTCAACGCAGCNACTCAGCCTCAACTCGTCAGCCTCAACGCAGCCTCAACTCAGCTTCAACTCAGCCTCAGTTCAGCTTCAACTCAGCCTCAACTCAGCCTCAACTCAGCCTCAACTCAGCCTCAACTCGTCAGCGTCAACGCAGCCTCAACTCCGCCTAAACTCGGCCTCAACTCAGCATTCTCAATTCCAGTTACTCAAGGACAGGTTCTCAGTTCATGTAACTTAGTCTTACTTAGCGCATCCTGCAAATTTATCCTCAGAAGGAAGTGGAACTAGGGGCTCGTGGGTTACTCAGCCCTGGCTCAATGTTTAATCCACCTTAATTCAACTTTAACTCAATGTCAACTTAGCCCCTTGCTTCAGCCATAGGTCAGGCCCAGTCAGCCTCAGCTCCAATGATGTCTTAACTCAGCCTCACCTCAACTCCATACCGATATGACGTTTCCGCCGTCTACTCATTCATAGCTCAGCCGTAACGAAGCCTTACTTTATGAAGCCTTAACTCACTGTTAGCTCAGCGTTAATGCAGCCCTACTTGTCTTAACTTTGCCTTAACTCAGCCTTAAACCACCAGTATCTTTCAGCCTGGAAGGCGAAGTCGTAAAAGTAACCTATACTGCATTCTTCGGAGGCCGGCTGATACGGCCAGGCGCTACCGGACCCCCCAAAGGCTGGCGGCACCAACCAAAAGACAACAAAAAGCCGCCACGCTGGCGCTTCGCCCCCCCCTTGGCATGCAGTTCGACTCCGCCTCGGCAAAAAAATGAGGCTCGGAGGTGCGGGTGCCTGGCTTAAGCAGATATATTATTACACTTGCATTTGACTCAGACCTAGTTCAGTCAGTCTCAGTTCAAATCATTTGTCTATCTCAGCCTTGGCTCAGCCTTAACCTAGCCTTTTACGCAGCCGTAACTGAGCCTTTACTCAGCCGTAACTCAGCCGTAACTAAGCCGTAACTCAGCCGTAACTAAGCCTTAGCGCAGCCTTAACTCTACCTTAACTCAGTTTTAACTCCCCCGTTAACTCTGCATTAAATCTACCTTCAGTCCCGCTTAACTCTGCCTTAAGCAGATTTATTTGCACAGCCTTAGCCTAGCCTTGACGCAGCCGTAACTGAGCCTTAACTCAGCCGTAAGTCAGCCGTAACTGAGCCTTAGCGCAGCCTTAACTCTACCTGAACTCAGTCTTAACTCCCCCGTTAACTCTGCCTTAAATCTACCTTAAGTCCCGCTTAGCTCTGCCTTAACTTAAGCAGATTTATTTGCACTTAACTCAGACCTACCTCAGCCAGTCTCAATTCAAGTGACTTGTCTACCTCAGCCTTAGCTCAGCCTTAGCCCAGTCTTAGCCTTCGCTCAGCCTTCAAGTTGATGCAGCCTTGAACCACCAGCACACGCCTCACATCGGCCGCGGGGCCGTGTCAGAGGCTGAAAAGCGATGCCGGCTGCTGATTTCTTTTATCGACGGCGCGCCGGCGCCGACTTCTCCGGATAGTAGGCGACGAGTTTCTTTTCAGCAAGGCTGGGGCTGTGTACTGGCGACTTAACAAAGCTTTAACTCAGCCTCAACTCAGCCTTAGCTCGTGCTTAAGAAGATGTTATAATTGGGCTGTTGACTCAGAGCCAATCCACTCGCCGTTCAAGGCATTTAAACAACGGTCTTCCCCCAAACACAAGGCATCACAATCACGACTGTACCTGACCGCAAAGCTAGCTTGTCTTTGTACACACGATGAGGATGGGTTGTGTTCCTGGAAGACTGCAGCTCAGCCTTCACTAACTCTTCGCTCAGCCTTAAGGCAGCTTTTTTTTTGTTTTTTTTAAACCCACACACACAGGTGCCCCTTCTAGTCTGGGGGGCGACAGTCCGTTTGCTTATCACCAGCAAGCAAAATGAAAACTTAATGTCCAGAAAAGGTCCTTGCCCAATGGTGCCCAGTCGCTACCTGCTTTCTTTCTTTTTCTCTTTTTTGCCAGTCTTAATCTTTAAATTTTAATTACAAGCCGACTCGCTACCTGCGTTCACTTCACGCCCTTTGAAGTCTATAATACTCTATATATGTCTCTTCTCACCCAATCCCCCTTCCCTTGGCACTTACCCCAATGTCCCTCCCATCCCTCGCCCTCCATACCTCACCTCCCAGCTTTTTCACTCACCCTTCATCCATCCTTACACAGATCTGTTTGCGCTTGACTCAAATCCAACTCAGACCTCAACTCACGCCCTAACTCAAACCTCATCTCACACCTAACTTACACCTAAACCAAGATCCAACTCACACTTAAGTCCGGCATAACTTAGACCTAACTCAGACCTAAACTCAGATCTGACTCACACATTACTCCAGCTTAAACTCGGACCTAACTCAGAACTAACTCAGAACTAAATAAAGAACTAAATAAATAACTACAATAAAGAACTAAATAAAGAACTAAATAAAGAACAAACGCAGAACTGACTCAGACCTTTCTCCGAACTAACTCCGAACTAACTCCGAACTAACTCCGAACTAACTCCGAACTAACTCCAAACTAACTCCGAACTAACTCCAAACTAACTCCGAACTAACTCAGGCCTGATTCAGGCCTGATTCAGCCTTAGCCAAACAGAAAGACAGACCAAGCTGCTGTACTTGTGCCATGCTTGGGGTCCGGCTCCATTTTACTTATTTATTTATTTATTTATTTATTTTTCCAGACTGTTTCCTACTCAGTACAGTTCGATTTTCAAGTTTTTGAAGTCTCGTTTTGTAGTCCCCAATTTTCCACGCAGCCGACCTGTCATAGCATGCAGCCAGACACAGGGACATACAACACAGACAAAAAAGAGAGAAAAAAAGAGCAAAACAAGATTAGACCACACCCCCCAAGAAAAAGAAGAAAGGAACAGACCAACCGAAAAAGGAACAGAGGATCAGCCTTTAAATATATATACATATATAATATATATATTATATATATCGTCAAATAGAACTGCCCGGTAAACCGTAGGCAGAGAGGGAGAAGAGGACAACAAACGAGGGGCTGTGACAAACTGTTTCGTCGGAGTTTCACCGACTCATCAGGAGGCTGAACCCTCAACAGTCTGTAGAATCCCCTCACTGATTACACTGTAAGTGATAATCCACCTTAACCAAAATCAAAGTAGACTATCACTCACCCACACCAGATGGAAAACTCTACAGACTGTCGGTTCACACCCCATCACAAGCCAGCAAAACACCCACGAAACAAAGAAAGGTCTGTCACAGCCAAAAAATACACTCCAGACACGCCGCTGGCACTAGAGGCACAGCATGGCCGCGTAGTGACGGCCCCGACCACTGCCGCTCGACCTGACCGGAGAAAACCGTAGCAGGAAGCTAGCGAAGTCGTAGTATATATCGTCAAATAGAACTGCCCGGTAAACCGTAGGCAGAGAGGGAGAAGAGGACAACAAACGAGGTATATAAAAGAAAAAGAAGAAGAAGAAGAGATGAACAGTCAATCTTTCAACGTGGAAGTCGTCAATACTGTCATCGGTAATCATCCCTGTATCTGGACTGAAAATTGAGCAAGGTTCGGTGAGACGTAAAGTGGGAGTCATCAATGGGCCTCGCTCCACTACTCGCCACATCCGCAAAAGACATAAAATATGGCAGGGTATCTGTCCATATTCTAGTGGATGATTCATTCTCATTTTGCACATTTGGTGAGTCGTGGAGCGAGGCCCACTGCTGTCTTCCCCTTTTTATGCATTTTCCCAACTTGACAGTGGACTGCTGGTCCCCACAATGGATATGGAGTCGGGCGCATAAGGAACTGTTTTATTATGCGAGGTGACGAGGGGAGACGAGATACGTACCTGGTGCATGAGGGAGGTCGGCATTGGTGTTGAATCATGTACATTTGGTCTTCAAAGTCGAAGTGAGCCTGTTGCACGAATGCGGCTGTAGTAGAATAGGCTAGGTAGAGTAGGACGGGCGGTGGGCGCCATACAGTAGGAGCGACATTGGATATTGTGGTCGTGTGGCCTGAGTGCATGAACATTGGCTCATGAGTTCATTGTATTGCTCTTATGTGGATGGAATCTTGGCGCATTTATGCTCTCTGCTTGGTACATGACTACTTGGACATCTGTGCGATTTCGCAACTTGGCTTTCTGTATATCGTTCTCACTCATATTCCTTGCAATTTGGTATCGGAGCTGGTTCATGATCGCCATTACCTGGTGCTGGCGAAATTATTACTTGGTGCGCTGACGATGCTTCTGTGCAGTGACGATACTTTGCCGCTGGCTTGTTGACGCGACACCCGGGAAGAGTGTTGAGTCGCAGGAAGGCTGTGGTGACAACGTAGGAGCTGTGATGACAGCGGATGTATGTACAATGATGAGAGCATGCTGATGTGGCATTTTGGCTGAGGTGGCACTGCATTGCGTTGTGTGTGGTACCGAAGCTTCGACCAGTCGTTGAAATGCACATTGGCTTAATTGGTGAGAAATCTGTGGTTGGGGGCAGCTATCTCCAGGTACGTTGTTCCCTTACCTTATCTACCCTCTCAATCTCTTCTTAGCGTGAGGAAGTGAGTCCAACCTTGAGTGTCCCCTTTTCGTGAGGAGTCGTGAGCGCTCTACCTCGAGATATGGCATTCTTCCCGGTGGCGCATCTGGCAGGAGAGGGCGGTGCCTCTGAAGGGCCCTGGTCGAAGCACGGGTCACGCTCACCATGCCAACCCATGGGAGTAGTACACGCAGGCCATGTTGTTTTGTCCTTTGAGGCTCGTTGCTGTGCTGATAGAGGGGTGTGCGGACTGACCAGTCCTATGCAGACGCTTACCAGACCGTCTATAAACATTTCTGGCGCAGTTCTGAACTGTCGACTGGCTGTGATCGTCGTCCTGTCTGCGACGTTAAATAATTCATGAGGATCTTGTGGGCTGTCCTTAAACTGCCTCTTGATCAGCCAGATCAGTCGGATGTAAGACTCATTGCACACGAGGATAAAGAAAGGGCAGTACTGGTCATAAGCATACTCCTGGGGCACAGGGGTGGGTCGTTAATGCACACCTTAGACACTGCTGCTCGATGATGCGGACAGGCACGTTGGACACAGGGGAGGGGGATTCCAATTGAAGCTCAATTGTCAATCACAAACATACCCATTGTGCATACATCTGCTCACATAATTTATTTTTATTTTTGATTAGTTGGTTGAGAAACTGCTAACACCTCACAGACAGCCTAGACTAGAACTGTAATGTTCTACCATAGTCAGTTCTCCTCGAAGCTTTTGTAAGTAGAACTCATCAAAGTAGACTTAGATTATGTTTACAATCTGTGTTAATGTTGTTGATACCGCTTGAACGGTAGCCTAGGTGACTCGCCGGATATTATTTTATTTTTAATTATTTTAAACCGCACAGGCACATGCTGCGGTAGGTTCGAGTGTGAACACTAGTGCGGACAGTGTCTGCCTAGCCGATGAGCGGATCAGAAGGTGGTGACGGAACAGCTGACGACAGAAGGCAGGCAGGGCGGGATACACGTAGGATTTCTGTAGTGTTTCAGGTTCTGCTACCAGGAGACGAAAGAAGATTCAGGGACGAAGCAAGGGCCCGTGTACTTGAGACTGCTAGGGAAGCAGCACCAACTACAGAAAGGACGTTAGCAACAGCAACAGCTAGCGCAGTAGCATGGCTACATCTGCAGCAACCTCGTTTGGTCAGACATTGGGAATGACGACCAGCTCGCAGACCGTTTCCAGTACGATAGGACCTGGTTCTAGTCAGATGGCGGGCTCGCAGTTCAGCTCGCCGCCTCCACGCACCAGGGAACGGATGGAACTCCAGCAAGTGGAGAGGATCCGCTTAAGGTTAGAGAAGGAACTAAAAGAGGCTACTGAAAGAGAAACGAAGATTAGAAATAGAACTGTCAGACTTGAGGGTAGAGAGGCAGACAAAGTTGCATTAGAGGGGTTATATGACTGGGCACTTGACAATACGTTAAAGATTGTCAAGGCGAGCATATTGTCGCTATCTAGGATACCCTTGAACAGATACTCGATGTCATGCACATGCCCGGTTTCAGGCCAGCAGTTTTGCCATCGCCATTACCGTTGTCGGCGATGACAGGCCCGTATCCGCCCCAAGCTGGCACACTACCAAGCGGTAGATAGGGTTGCTTGTAGGGTCCTGGGCCCTCTATACATCAACAGGAACTCTGGAACAATAGGTACCCACTGCGTGCAATTCGGGACCCTCTAAATTATCAGTCTCGCCAGTCTGTACTAGTTTGTGAGGTGCCCTGGTAGAATCTGGGTACGAATGCTACGTTTCCCGTCACTATGGTACCCACACAAGAGTGCACACATAGCACGACCTAACTGCGGTGGGATCCGGATAAGGGTAAAAATGTTGCGCACACACAGGTGTTAGTATGGGGTAGGGTGCTGGACATTCTCGATCCTGCAGGTACCATCTGACGCCTGTGAGATGGCGCTCCATCTAGGGTGGTGTCCGTTGGGAATACTCGTTGGGGGAATCAGTTGGATTAGGGCCCTAAAGGGGAGCCTGTGATAGATCGGCATCATACTTAGGGAGGCAAGGAGTGATATCGCACCTTAGTGGAAAGGTAGGGTAGTTCTCTGCCTACTAGAGTCTGCGGGATGAGGCACAGATGGAGGATGACCGCATCGCGAAGACCCCACCTCTGCCCGGGGCGTCCTTGGCATTAGAGTCAGGGTAGTGTCTGCACGAAGACGTTCGGGTCAGTCCGGCAAGCATTGGTGCAGATTACGACTTGCGATTTGAGCATTAGTATAGGTCATGTCATTGTGATGCCACCTTGAGGTGACTCGCCGGGAGCCTAGCAACTCATCTGACCTCCCAATGGATGAGTACCATGGGGACCTCCTGAGGCCTGGCCTCCGCCCTCTACTACACCATGGACTCAAAAAAAAAAAAAAAGAAAAAAAAAAGAAAGAAAGAAAGAAAGAAAAGAAAAGAAAAAGAAAGAACAGGTTTTACAGATCACTTTGAACCCTAAACCCTAAGCCCAATGAAAGAACAGGTTTTACGGATCACTTCGATTGTCTAGTCAGAGAAAGCTTGTAACAAGTCCACGTCTAACCCTAAACCCTAAACCCTAAACCCTGAACCCGGTGAAAGAAAGTTTTTACTGATCGTGATGATTGTCCATCAGAGCAGAGCTGCTTGTGTGAATTCCACGTCTAAAACCTAAACCCTAAGCCCAGTGAATGAAAGGTTTTTACTGATCACTAGAATTGTCCATCAGAGTAGAGCTTCTGGTGTGGAAGAACATGTTTAACCCTCAACCCTACACCCTAAACCCATAACCTATTAAAAGAAATGTTTTTAGTACCTTTTACTGATCTGTATGATTGTCTATCAGAGCAGAGGTTGTGACATGAAAGTCCACGTCTAAACCCTAAATCCTAAACCCTTAACACTAAACCCTAAACCCAGTGAATGAAAGGT